TACTGATTTACCAATGTCATCTGATAGTGAGCAATTTAAGATCTGATTCTATATCAATAAAAGATTTCCTCAGCTATGATTTCGATAAAACTCTCTGCTGTGAGGTTGATTTAATTTTGTAATTTTTTTAATAATCCGCTGATCAACGTTTACTGACAAACTTTCAATTCCAGAGATGAAACTTGTTTAACTCTTTCGATAAATGTTCTATGATTATGATAAACAATTTTTTTCGAAATCCATTTTCTCTTCACTGCACATGAAATATATAAGTTGTTGTACTATTTACTAAATCTATGCTATCAATGGATTTTGATGTTAAAAAAAACACACAAATGTTTTAATAATAAGTGATTTACTAATCGATGCAGTCACTCATTTCAGTTGTGATTGCAGCTGCAAAAATTGAACCTAAAATAATCGATCTGACAACACTAATCTGGACGAAGGATTAAGAAATATTATATTTTTATTTTTTATATAAATGAAAACAAAGATCAATGACGAGCTCCAAATATTGAACTACCCACACGAACAATTGTACTTCCCATTTCAATAGCACGTTCATAATCATGCGACATACCCATGGAAAGTTCAATAGCATTTAAATCATAATTATATTTTGCACATAATTCTTCTCGACATTTAAATAAAACTTGAAAATCTTGATCATTCTCCGTTTGAACATTATTTAATGAACCAATTGTCATTAAACCTTCACACACTAATAATGGGCATTTCATTTTAATATATTCATATAAAGATAAAAATTGTTTTGATTCAATTCCATATTTTTGTTTTTCATTACTTGTATTTATTTGTATAAGAATATTTAATTTTCGTGATTGTTGTTGAAGAGCTAAATTTAAACGATTAGCTAAGTCCATGGAATCAACTGTTTGAATACAATCAAGATTTGTTACACGTGTTAAGATTCGAGGAACTTTTTTTCGTTGTAAATGACCAACAAAATGCCAACGTATATCTGGACATTGACTACGGATTAAATGATTATTAGATTTTTTTTCTAATTCTTCGACATAATTTTCACCAAAATAACGTTGACCAGCAGAATAAAGCTCAATGATATCTTCAATTGGCTTTGTTTTTGATATGGCAATTAAACGAGCCGGTGAACGATGAGGTGGTGATAGTTCATTAATACGTTGAAGAATTAATTTTAAACGAGAAACAAGTTCACTCATTTAATTAAATTTAATATCTAAAAATAGATATTTTTAACTTAATACTCTGTGTTCTTGATAGGTAATTAGTATTTTGATAACATCTAAGAACCTGGCAATATCTAAAGGGAAAAAGGAAAAAAAGAAAATTAGTTGTCGATAGAGTATAAAATATTTCTCGGTGGTGTCAAAGAGAAAACGTCATATCTATGTTTCAATCATTTTGATCAACAGTACTGATGGTTAACTTTTAACACTAATAGACAAAGTAATTTTTTTCTTTTACTGGAGCCTAAACCAACACTATACAGATATCCGTGAGTGATATTGATATATTACATAGTGATCTAAAAATCAAGTGTTGTGTTTGAGAAAGAGATAGAAGCCCAATGTCATGATAATTTTATTTTAAGACTGAAAACCTTTTAACTAAATAGAAAATCGAAATTTTTCTCAAGTAACTGATAACTAATTTTTGTACTTCATTAACCCTTGAGATACGGATGAAGAAGTGTGTGAAATTGTTTTTTTTTTTGAGATTTATTTATATTAGTTGAGTTATGTTTCAATCTGATAAAACATATCCTGACAAAATTCGAAGAAAGGAATTGTTTAGAAGAATATGATATCTTATTTTTTTAACAGCTATTGCTTGTTACTGATACTGATATATCATGTTTCTTACAAGGAATTTCAAAGCACGGTATATTTTTGAACAGATGACAAACTTAGAAGTCTGCTTGTTATTCTCTTAAATGTTTACAAAATTTAACAAGTTAACTAGACACAATGTTTTGTTTTTACCGAATCACATGTGCTTCCAATACATATTTGATAATTTCACAAAATATCATTACCATTACCATCGTTAGAAAGAGATTGACCATCAACAAAAAATTATGATAAATTAAATAGTCTACATATTTTTTCTTTTTTTCGGTTTTCTTTTCACAATCATTAGACAGATAGCTGAACAAAAAAAAAAAAAGAATGGCACACTGTTATTTCTAAATCGATTAGGAATACAATAGTTTATTATGTCTATTAGTATTTCTATTACAGATAATGACTTCTCTCAATGACGAATAAATCTGTCGAACAGCTGAAAATATCAGAAAATTTTTATACTTCTCGTTTTATTGGATTAAGTAACTTCTTTGATATTAATATCGTACACTAGAACTCCATTATCTTCAGTTACATTAGCATTTCTAATTGAATAATATAAAGAAAAATGCAACTTCAAAACTTTTCGAAATATGAAAAACAAATAGAAAATACATTCAAACATTTGTTGAGATAACAATTAGCTTTTTACACAAGTCATTAAATTATGTGAATGTTTTTATTTTGATTCTATTATATAATTGAAATTCTTCTATAAAAGTATTAGTTACAAAAAGCAAATGTTGACTAGCTTTGCTTTAGAATAAACGATCAGTTGAATTTTATTTCATAAGTAAGCAACAGTTAAAGATATTAGTGGAAAGTTCATACAAAATAATATATCGATGAAACATTGTGTCAATCTTTTCTCTGCCTTGAAAACTAAAAGAAAAGTTTCAAGATCATTGTCAACTGTTTTATTCAGAAGTTCTATAACATTTAACAGTGTTTTACACTTTTCTGAAAATATTTGATAGTATGATAAGCTAGCACATTAGAAATGCGATAGTAAATATAGAAAAATTTTTCGAAACCAATCTTATTTATATCTAAACTTCTGAGGCTAGTATTATCATATAAACGAAAGTCTTGAATTATAGCAAGCTGCGAAAATAAAGTTTTGAACTATTGTTTAAAAAATTAGATGAGACTTGCTGAATTTTATATTTTTCTCCTCCTTTGGCTGCATTGATAACGGCAATGGAGCCAGTTCTAATGCCTATAGGCATAGACATTTATCTGAAAATATGCATAAAAAAACTTTAATGAACATATTTACACGTCGTAAAGAAGATCAATTGAATTTCTTGAATAGTATAAGAGATGTTTACGTCAACGTTCCTGATGGAGTTTTGGGAGACCCTGTAGGTTTAGATATTGTAGTCAAGGAGAGTTATATTGTTTTCTATTCCGGTCTTCTTATAAATAAATTAAAGGTTTTTTTTGAATAAAGCGAATAAGAATTTAAAGAAACTCAAAAACTATTATTACATGCATCAAAATTTTTATTCCGATCCAGATCCGATGAACCCTTATGCTACCCCCTTCCTAGTGTTTGCTTTGTGTCTGCGACAATCTTGACTAATTGCTTGAAAAATGTCTGGTAAACTGTAATCTTTCCCACATCAACAAGTCATTAGGAACCATGATTGGTCGATTCAGTTCGGTCTGCTCTACCCAGAACCGTACCAATACTAGTGCCGGTCGTCAAAAATTCAGATCCGTTCTGTCGCTGATTGATACGCTTTACATGTTCTGTTCTGGATGTCATAGGAGCTTCTATTACTTTCTTCCTTTCTACAAATTTCTTCTTCTAAAAATCTTCAATTTTTATCCATGTATACAAAACTACATCTATATTGGTAAGACCAAGAAAGTAGAAGATATAGACTGAAATTATAGATCATTTATTAGGAAAATGTTATTATTGAATCATTAATCGTTCCTTGAATACAATCAATATGTAGAGTCAATTCTGATTAAAAATCATTCTGAAATATAAAAATATAAGAAAATCAAACGCATTCTATAGAATTTATTGGATAAAGTCCTTCGAACAAAGTTCTCTATTAGAATAACTAATTAAAACAGGCATCTATTTCATCATCTATTAGGGAAATTTGTCGTACTAGCTCACCTGTACATGACAATGATTATCAATTGTTCTTTTTATGATAATTGCAATTCTTTATTGTGTGATAATTTCTTAAAATAATGTGCAATATGTTCATTAGAAATACTTTCAAATGTATTAGATTTCCATTGAGGTTTGTTATCTTTATCAATAAGAACTTGAAAAATAGAAAGATGAGCGAAATTTGTTTTTTTTTCTATTATCAAAAATGACATACCAACTCGAACACCTTCGAAAAAATTATGACCATTTATAACATAATGTAAAATACGATATTCCATTTTTAAACATTCTCATAAATCTAATTGTTTTCCTTGTTTCAATTGTTCTTATGTGATTTTCAATGATCTTGGACTCTAAATAGATAAAAAAATGAAAATATCTAGAGAATATAGAAATAACTAACCATTTTCTTAAGAATTGAAAGTTGTTTTAAAGCAAATACTGATCCATCAGATTCTAATTGTTCGAAAATAGTTTCAACATTTTTTTATATCTATTGAAAATACTCGATTAAGCAACGGTAATTGTTCTTGAAGACCTAAATGATGATTAAGATATGACCTTTACAAACAAACAATCATCAATTTAAAATGAATCTAAATTGTGAATAAAGATTACTACACTTAAACAACTAGTGAAACATCTACAACTTCTCTTCGTTAGAAAATTCATCAAACATTTTTATACAAAATTCTCAGTGAAATCATGATATTGATTATCAGAAAGTATCGGTTTCAATATACACTCTCCTTTATTGTGCACTATTATTATAGATAAGCAAAATTTTAAGACATACAAGTTCAACATGTTATTTAAACCGAAGAATAAACTTTAAATGCTAATTTATTTTTTGCAGTATTTCGACAAATTCGAAAAATACATACCAATTCATAATTTTTATTCAAAAGTTCTTTTATTGAATTATAATCAGCTTTTGGTATTTCAATAAGTTTTTGTTCGATATCTATCAACTATGTATAAAAATAATATAAACCTGAAGATGTTAATAATACTCAATTTATTGGAAAAAAATGTGTTGCAATACCAGCATGAACAATATCTATACCACGTAAACGACGACCTGTTAAACCAAGAAATACACGAAGATTATTCGATAGACGTGGAAGAAAATATGAACCATCAGCATTCGGAAATAAACTATTTTTTTTTCAAATCAATCACATAAATCAATGAAGAATTTTTTTAAAATTTATCAATAGCTGTTTCAGGCATAGTAACTGTTGTTATTTCTGTAGCTAATCGAAATGGTCCGTGTACTGATAAATCACAACCCAGTAATAAACAAAATGATATATGTTTAATTTTATTCAACATACCCCATCCACTGTAATACCATTAATAAATGCAATATACGATAGTTTATAAGTTCCAATAACATAAATAAGTTGATATTCATCTCTGAAATAATCAGTTCGAATATTTTCACTAATTGATGATGTCATTGGAAGAACTAAAATTTTATTCATTTGTTAGTATGAAATAAATAACTTTGTCTTTATTTTTTGTCACTTTTAATATTACCATCAGCAGAGAATGCTTTTGATTCAGTACTTTTAATAATAATTAATTCTGTTTCTTTTTTATCTAATTCCCATTCCTGAATAATTTTTTAAACTAAAATTTATAAGAAAATGAAATATTTATAATTTCATTTTCGAATACGTTTTTTTTTACCATTGAATATATTAAAGCATTTAATGTTTTTGGTTTATTTAATTGCATAAGTCCTGTTTTATATATATAATGAAATAGAACTTCAGTATCTTAAGTTATATAAATATTTCTTTTTGAATAATATTGGGGGAAAACTTATTTGTATTAGTTTTCAAAACATTTCGTTTAATGAGAAATGAAGCATGTTAAGACCGACGACATCTATACTTGATTTGACCATTCATATAATATCGCTAAGATCAGTAGATACCTATTCGGGTAGTAATAATAAAATGTCGAAAGCGAAGCCAAGAAAAAAAAACGATTGACTATCTATGATTCAAACTAATAATAACTAATCATATTTTTTCGGTTTTTGGTTTTTTTATTTGTGGCCTTTTATTATTACCCTACCTATTCTAAAGTGTCGATCAAAATTTTCGTTTTTTTCCAACAAACACCATGTGGAATTTTCATGCTATTGATATTAGTTGTTCTATTTATCAATCAAATCATTCATAGAATAACTTTGAAATTCGGAGTGATAAATATTAATTATAAATTTTATTGATAAATTCAATTTTTTATATTTTAAATTACAACGTTTAACTTCTACTTCATTACTACCAAGTTTAGAACGACTAAAAATTCAAGGAGATTTGTCTCATTTACGAAGTAATGACTGACAACATATTGAAAAATCGAAAGCTGGCAGAACTGCAACGGCATAAGCGTTAGATGAAACAAAAATTCAGAACAAGTAATTGTTATTAGTTGACAAGAGAAACTTTTTAGTTCTGTTTTTTAATACTTTTCTTTTTATCTAATTTTTTATTTTTTGTTTGATGTTTTCACTCCTTTAAAGTGTATGGAAATTNGTTGTGAAGAATTTTGAGAAAAATATTTTTTTTGAAAAAATCCCTGTACTCCCCCTCAGGGATGATCTTCTCAATAATGACAATTTTTTCGATAACTCAGCCATTTCTTGACGGATCCTGCTCATCTTCGAACTCGACCGAGACATTGTTAAGACTGAACTGTGTAGAAAATTTCATCGCGATTGGACTCTCCTTTCAAAAGTTATCGTGTTAACGGCCGGACGGACACACTGACCGATTCTAGAGTGTACTCACTTTTTGAGTACACAAAAATGATCTGTTATGCTGAAATTTTATGTCAGATTTCATAAGTAATACAACACAAATTGATGAAAAATATGTTACATGTCCACATGCTTAAGTCATAAGAATCAAACACGATCATGTATTAGATCAACCCTTGTTATCGGACAGGATTTACTTCTTTATTATGTCAGATTGGTCGATTACGATCAAATGATCAATTTTATGTCAAAAAAATCATTTTTTTATATTCTGATTTAATAATTATTACAACAGATACACATAAACAAACATTACATGTATTAAGTAAAAATCTTCTCGATTCATGGACAATTAGAAATACCATTATTAAATTCAACATCTTTTAATTGTTCTTATGATTTTGGTATAAAAAAAGAAAAACTGGTTTGATTGTGTAAAAGTTTCTTCTTTTTAGATTCTTGAAATTGAATTTTGGGATGGAAATTATTCAACGTTTAAAATTTTACATAATACCGATCATGAACGAATGTATGAAAAAAATTTAATTAAATCAGACAATGCCTATACAGGTCAAGTTGATAGACTTAAAATAACTTGTGCTTTTCATGAATCTATTATTCGTGCTTCAAACAAAAGATTATATATTTGATTTAATTGTTGCTTTTTTCCTGAGTATTGTCATATGTTTTATGTATATAGTAGGTTGGTACTACTGGAAAAGTTCAAATTTTTAATAGACAAAATTTCTCTCTCATTCTACACATATACATATGCTATAACTTTATTTAACATAATACTTTATAAAAATGAATAAATATTTTGTTTTTCTTATTTTAATTATTAAATATGTTCATTAGCTGGATTACTTGGTGGCCGTCTACCATGTACAAATCTTTGTCTAATTAGTTTTTGTCGAAGACTCTGATTTATTTCAACATTATTAGGATCCTCACATGTATGAATGATGATCGATGGAGCATTCAAACTATGTTCATTCGGTAATAATTCATGAGATTCGTCTAGAATAAAAATAATGATTTATATCAAGAAAAGAACATTGTAGGACTTCGTGACCTATCTTGAACTAGGATACCATAGATGTAGTTTTGTAGAACACTTTGCGGTGTATCGAGTTGTATTTAAGAAAGTAAGTTTTATGAAAATTTTGATGTGTTAAGAGTGCATATACTAGTTATAATCCTTGAGAATAGTACCTAACATAAACTTGTGCAAATTTTGTTCTTCAACTAAATTTGATATATTTGCAGATGCTCTTCGAGTTTTTATAATCAATAGTTTTCGTCGCTGCTTTAAAAATGGTTCCTTTTCTTAGGTCTAGGTTATTTCTTGACTAGTTGATCTTGGATAAGATCTTTCGAAACAGTAGGAACTCATTGTTAACTTGCTAGTTTATTCCCTCGAATAGCTTGTTTTCCTACATGAAAAAGTCGGCACATTGACAATATTTTAACAATACTGAAGGATCTCATTAAAATTTTAATGTATCGATAATCAACACAGCATCCCTGATGAACTGATATAAATAACTCCTTCATAAGCGGAAAAAAAGTTTTGACTTCCGGATTCCTGGAGAAGAGTGCACAGAATATGAAAAAAAATTATTGTTGAAATGAACATGAGATATCTATAGACGACTCGTCTAGAGTTTCATGAATAAATCAAGTTTGAATACTCGAAACAAAAGTTTGGAAAATAAAATAATGAAAATAACAGACATTCTTCCTGCAACCCTATACCAATACCTTCTGTCTGGGTCTCTCATGACCAAAAACTTTTTTTTCCATTTATAAAGGAGTTATTTATATCAGTTCATCCTGGAGTGCTGTGTTGATTATTGATACATTAAAATTATTAATGAGATCTTTCAGTATTGTTAAAATATTGTCAATGTACCCACTTTTTCATGTAGGAAAACAAGCTATTCGAGGGAATAATCTTTCAAGTTAGCAATGAGTTCCTGATGTTTCGAAAGATCTTATCCAAGATCAAGTAGTCAAGAAATAACCTAGACCTAAGAAAAGGAACCATTTTTAAAGCAGCGATGAAAACTATTGATTATAAAAACTCGAAGAGCATCTGCAAATATATCAAATTAAGTTTAGGCACTATTCTCAAGGATTACACCCAGTATATGGACTCTCAGTACATCGAAATTATCATAAAATTTGATTTCTTAAATACAACTCGATGCAACACAAATTGTTCTACAAAAACACATCTATGGTATCCTATTTCAAGACAGATTATCAAGTTCAGAAACGCCCTGTATAATGACTTACCAGGCTGTAATTGGGAAATAGCAGCAATTAAATTCATATCAACAGTTGGTGGTTTTTCAATATTTTGTTCCCAATTATCTGGTGGACTACATGGTGGTGATATAAGATAAAGTTTTTCCGGTTCAGGTGGACGTAAATGTTTATCAGGGGTTGCATCATGAAGAACAACAGGCTAGAATAATATAATATCTATAGATAAAAAACAGGAACTGAATGATTGACTTACACAAGCAAAAAATGTGTTTATTATTTTACCATGAAATGGGTATTGATGAAGCTGTAATCGAGCTTGTAAAGCATTATATGAAGATGTAAATGTAATACGTACACGTTGAAAAAATTTAAAATAAAGTACAGTAATTTGAGAATCATAAGCACGAAATAATTGTTCAAATTCATCCTTTTTATAAATTAATAATAATATTCTTAAATAAAAAAATGTAAAAAATAATATATTTTACTTTCATTTGTTGATTCGTAAATAAATCTTCAGGTACAGAACTTATAATAACACTATTTGGTAATGAAGATACATCTATATCATTATTATTAGTTTTTATATAATCATCTTCATGTTCATTACTATTATTATTAAGACCACTAGAATCATCACTTATATAATTAATAAAATATTTTGATGCATCTTCATCATCTAATTGCATTGATTTAACATCATTAGTTATTTGATTTAACTTCATGATAAAAGAAACAAACAGTACTATAATGTTAAATCAATAAATAAAGCATACACTTACATTATCATCGGTCATGACTTGGATTATATTAAATATGACGTCGCAGTAGGAAATGAAAAGAGGGATTTGCTAATAATGGTAAAATTCCGTAGAATACAAGAACCAATAATTATCAATTCGAGAGCGACATCTCATGTAATGCGACCCGCCGCAATTTTTCCACTATAGTTCCATCGTTTAGTATAAACATTGGAATGTATTCAAGTCCGAACAATCAATTGATTTTGTATGAAAGGGTCGCTTTTTTCAACAATGAATGATATACTGTTGCAAAAATTGTGACATGATTGATTTAGGTGATATACACACAGAATTAACAATTTAAAATCTACACTTTAGAGTGACATCAAAGAAACATTATTCGTATACATGGCATTGATTTAACAAACAATATGATTATTAGAGAAAATCATTGTTGAAAAACTGTCAAATTTAATTTATATAATCTCATAAGTTTAAACGTACGGAATTTATTTGAAAGGAGTACATTTTAATTATCTGTCATGACAAAATTAAGAATACTGGAAAGAAAAAGATTGTATCGTACTATTTCCAACTTTCGAATGAGAATATGCATATGCATTTTTTTTTGCTGTCAAAAAAAAATGTTTCCTGTAATCGATAAGACTTATTCTTGATCAAAAACTCCATAATTAATCATAGATGAAGTTATAACTTTGAAGAGAGAGCCCTAGCGAAAATCCTTGATGTTTTCGTTCGAGATTCTTAACGAATTCAATAAGGACCCTGCAAGAACTCACTCTTTCTTCTTGACAAAACAACTAAATACTAAATAAAGTGTATAGTTACGGAATTTTAGAATCCTGTCAAGGTTTAATCAAGATTCTATGCGCTTTATGAGTAGTTTTGAACTAGAAATCGTTCAGGAAGCCACGAAATTTTAAAAGAAGCGTGTGACCACGAAATGACAAAGATTTTGGCAGAATTTGAAATAAAATCTTACAACGATCTTGAACAGGAACTTAAAAAAATCCTGTTTAGCCATGCGAAATCCTGCAAACAGGAATTACTAGGATTCAAAATAGAATTCTGAATAAAACTTGACACGATCCTTGAGATCCAAGATCTTTCCAGGACTTCGATTAGAAAAACTAATCTGTGTAAAAATTCTTCTTCTCCAACTGCTCGTGCTTCCGAGACATATTTTTTATTTACTATACGATTAAAATATACACTAACGTTGCATGCAACAAGTATGTAACATGATATTGTTTATATAGAGATCACATCTAGTTGAGCAAGAAGAATTTGTAATTGTATTGGCTTCTCTCTTGAAAACTGTGACTTCACGAATGACTGCAGAGTGTTTGATCGCGTGTCAACTTTGTTAACCATAGGAGAAATTTTTTTGTCATTCGACAAAGAAACGTATAGGCATGTTCCATTTGAAAATTAAAATAATAAAATGAAGTATTATTATTCTTATAGGAGCATTATCGAAATGCATCATTTTTAAATAAATACAAAAAATCAATCAACATATCATGTAAATAAAATCAAATATAAATATATCTGTATCGTTGATTCTACTATCTATGAAATGATGTAGAAGTGAATTTGAAATCGTACAAGAGGAAGAGAACAAAAGCTTTTTTATCAGTGCAGACGAAATTGTTTTGTCATGTATTTATACTTAAGAAGATCATTTTCCAAATTATTATTGTTTTTCTTTTTATATTTGAATTATATGTTATACGAAAACAAAAACTTGATGGATAAAAATGTTCCAGTATTAAGACATGACGATTTGTTCTATGTCGTTCCTATTATCAAATGAAGAGTTAAAACAGAAATCAATAGCCGTAAACGTGCTAAGCTCATAATTCCACCTCTGTGCTTATTTTTCAGAACAACAAAACAAAACAGAAATAGAAATGTGCAAACTAAATTAATTTGGAAATATACTCAAGGCGAAGCATAGGGAGCCATAAAATACGAAAATCTATAAGAATACTTGTTCAATATGAGTAGAGCTTTTATTTTGAAATGTAACAAAAAATGTTTTTGACTCTCGTTAAATTTTCACATAAAAATTTTTTTTCATTTGTCAGAATGTGATAGATACATTTTTATTTTCGTAAGATTCCACTTCTCTTCTGCTTTATTTACATTTAATTTTCACGATGCCATGAATTTGATTGAAATTATATATGTACACAATAGCTATTGCTTCATAGTTAGTCATCTAGGCAAACATTAGGAAATGAAAATAGAATTGAATTGCACTGTTTTGTTTTTGTTTGAAAAATAATTTGACTTCGAAAAAAGAAGTCCTATGAATGTTTTTTTCTTCAAAACTTATTGTTGTTCAATATTCAGTTGAAGAGAAAATGAAAGAAATTATGTTCATGTGAATTTGTTTTTTTCTATAAAGTTTTATTTCGTCTAATTAAAAGCTTAATTGGAAATGGTCTACTTAAATTACAATAGAATAGTGAGAAATTTTTTGAGAATATATATTGATTTTAAAAACATAAATATGAGAAGAGGTTCTGTGATCCAAAATCAAGTTTCATTAAATGATAATAAAAAAATAATTTACTTTCAGGAGTTTTATAAACGTCGATGAAGATAATATATGTGATGCATTCACACAAATAATCGTTTTCTATTAAAATTGATCATATACTTGTTGTTTCTGATAATTTCTATCGTTATGAATTCGATTCGTTGTACTCGTCATTTTCATGAAGGAGCAATTAGTTGGTGGTTAGGAACTAATGAAAAGTCTGTGTTAAGTACTCAACGAACTATTATTATTGATCAACAGTAATCAAGTCCAACTGAAATACTCAAAACAAATCTTCCATTTACTCTCGTATCTTCATCATATGGTATTAATCTTACATGGACACCAACATCTGACCAGTTTAATGAAACATTTACATTTTGTGCTGTTGCAGTTGATATCAAATTAATACTCATCAGATCAATATTATTTTGATTTATTCATTGGTCCCAAAATAATAATAACTACAAAAATCATTTGTGAAGTCTTCATGGATTAGTCCTTTACCAACTGAAGATATTTCACTTATTGCATCGACAATTGTTCCATTTGATCCTTCAAACGCCAATATAGTTCGATTCTACTGCACAAATATTCGATGTAGATTCAGTCGCAATGAGTATGAAATAGATTTTGGGGTTTTCAAAACTTAATTTTTGTTTTCTTTTTAAAACTTGTACATTATATTTTTAGTTGAATAAAATAATTGTGTCGAATTCTTTCATTAAAAGTTTATGTATGGAATGATTAAATGAGAACAATCAAAAATTACCGTAGAGTATAATATTTAATAACATACGAGATAGTTTAATCTATAGAAGAAGATACTTTTCAATCACTGTGGTGATATATCAATTATTCGATTAGTATTAAGTTCTTTTTTTTATAATGCTCTAATTTTGTAGACATGAGTTCGTATTCTTTTAACATTTTCTCTGATATCGGATTGAAAATTTGACTATACAAAAACGAGATTTACAGATAACAACAATCTCTCATACCAATTCTTCTTGTGTAAAGCAACCTTTCTAATTTTGTCGTTCGTTGGTGATGTTCGATGTTGAACATTATCCCATCACACAGTTGGTGGCGAAGCAGTATACGGTGTTTTTCAAGTTTCTTTGTGATGGTTCAAGCTTTACAACTATATATTAAAACTGTGGAAATATGATGCTTGAAAAATATAGGTTTGAAGATAATCAGAATTGCTTTTAAATCGTAGATGCTCTTCATTTTTCAGAAAGCTTTTCATGTTTTATATTTTTATGCTTTAAAATATCTGTCATTAGACGCGTCCAATTCATTGAATTTGTGTTGATGTGTTGCCAGGTCAAAGATGTACGATGGGAAACAACCGATCTCCGTGAATTTTGGAAGCAGGATTCCTAAATCGGTTCGAACTTAGTTCTTATCAAATTTCAATATCCAAAAACGGTGTTCGGATACAGCTGTCTGTTTGCGGTACGGTTCTCGACGACAAGATGCAGTTCAAAATCTTTCATTGTCAACCTTATGATGACATTAGATTCCATTAGATAAATCGACAATTCTTGTGAAAAATAGGTGTTCCTTCTCGTGGGTTTTCTTGAGTTCGGTTGTAATTAAACGATTTCTACTGTCGAAAATCTGTTGTTATTTGAAAAGAGCTTTAAACATATTTTTTTTTGGCAGACACCGTCTTTACAAGATAATTTTTGAGTCTCCGATAGCTATTTTAACAGAAGTGTCGTTTAAAGGTCTCTTCTGAATACGGTCTATTTCTGGTATACCTCCACAAGACTACGATCCGACTCCGGTGTGTTTACGCATAAATATGATTAATTTTCTGTTTTTTTCTTCGATCGATTCCTCTTACTTTCGTCCGGATACGATATATTTCCTTTTTATTTTGATGATGGGAAATGTTTAGAAGAGAGGAGTTCCTGTACGATAATTTTCCGAGCTTAATTGACTGGAAAATAGACTGTTGTTTTTGACTTATTGCCGTATTCTGGGACCTAATCATCAATCTGAGTTATTTATGCTTTAGCTTATTATTACTTGCATTTTCTTATTAGTGACTTGGCAGTCGACTTTATTAGAATAATTGAGCCTTTTTGAAGCTGTTTTCAAGAAGATCTATATGGCTGACAACACCAAGATAATCTATACTTGTTGCATGGTGGTTACAAAGCCGTATTCGCTTATGGTTATTCTGTATGATCTGATTAAATATCAAAATTATCGACTGATTTAACATGGAGCCTTTTATAAGATTGTTTTATTTAGAAAACGAAGACTATGATTTAGAGAAATTTTCAATATTCTATTTCATAGCATTTATTTTATGCTTAAACCTGTAAGATTAGCCAAGAGTAAAATATTATCCTTAGCAAAGAGATTAATTTTTGTTTTGTCTTTAAGTTTCTTTGAAACAAATGAATACTAATATTGATTTGTTGTAGTGTTACGGACAGATAATTCAATATCAATAATCAGATTTTGATCCTTGAGAAAAATATAATTCACTGAATATAATTATATTTCTCATTCTTTTTATTGTCAACAACAATCAGCAATTTCTATTTTGTATTATTAATAAATCCCAATAGAAATGCATCCAAAAATAATAAAAATTGTTTCGTTCTATTACATAAGAAAATTCATTGAATTGTTCATACATTGATTTTGCTCTTCTATTATCATCAGCAGATTAGTTTAATGCAGAAAACGAAGTTTTATTTTGGGTAATGAATAGAAAAAAAAGTGACATATTAAATGAAGCACGTGAGGAAAAAAAAGATCCTGTTTAATAACATCTAGATTTTGCACTGTTATATTCGCTCACAAGTTTGACCCTTCACAAAAAGCATATGATGAGAGAATCACAGACATATAATAGGGGAAGCATACAAGATCATTGAAAAAAGAGCAAAGAAAAAAATGAATAATAATTTAACCTAAACGCAGAAAAAAACATCGTCTAGATTTTCGCGATTATGAGAAAAGTACAAGATTGAACTTGGTCTTTTTTTGATTTAACCCATTATATTTGGTTATCGAAATGGTGATTGTTGTTGCATAGTCGGTGAACCAATATTAGAAAAATTACTGGGTTGACCTGTTGGTGATTGTTGTTCTTGTTGTTGTTGCTGTTGTGCTGTACGATTTGTAAAAAATTTTGTTTCTTTATAAACAAACCAACCACTACCAACCCAAAGTATAAAATTTAAAAAGCCAAATATAACAGATACGATTATATTTGCATAAGTACCAGCTAGAAGAAAAATAATGAAAATAATAATGACAAAGAAAAAAAACTGAATTCATAACTAACAATAATTTTCTGGACATTGTGTCATATCTGGACAGACCGTTGAACGTTTAGCTATACTTTCCCAACTAGTTTGCGTACGAATATTTGATATACCTTTGGCCCATGCTGAACTTCCAGCAATCCAAAAAATAGACCAGATTAATATAATAATTAAATCAATTAAAGGAAAACGTTCATCACTACGATATTGACGATCCATAAGAACATAAATAATAGAAAATCCAAGTGACAATAACATTGATGTAACACCTGTAAATACAAAAAATTCAGCTGATGGTTTTACATCATTTGCACTAGATATTGTATTTAACTCGGTGTTGTCAGTTGTTTTCTCTATTGGTGTATTTTTTAAATTGTAAGGATAAGACCAAGATGCAGATATTGTACTGTTTTCTATATAGCTAGTGAATAATACTGAAGAACTACCATTGCATGCTGTAGCAAACGCAAATATTGCGAATATAAATTGAAGAAGACGAATCAAGCCACGAGGTTCTACAAGATAATGTAATAATTAAAGAAAACCTTCATGAATCATTATTAACGAATGACTAAAACGTTTTTAGACAAGATGCTTGTTCACTTCTAATCTACTAGAAAGTATTAAAAGTTCTGAGTTATGATACTCTTTTCGCATATGTGCTTATACATTGTGTCGTAGTTTTTGTTCGAGAGTAATCAAATCATCTTTGGAAAGCTTACAAAAAATTAATTGAGACCTTTATTTCTATATCAATTAATAGATCAGAAGCTACCCTACAAAATGCATTACTTGAAGTTCTCTTTGTCTTTTGACAAGATACCTCAATTTTCGTTTTTTCTAAATATTCACTAATGAAAAATTGACTTCTGAAGTCATAGTCAAATACTGATCATGACCTACGATATTTGGCTCGTCTAAAATGCTTTCAAGCAGGCCACCGTTCACTGGAAACATTCGCCCAAACTAATTTTTAGGGCGTTTCAAAGATTATTGCACTAGTCTCGAATAACGAGTGAGACAAAACTTCTAAGTTCATTTTCGAAAAGAGCATTCTAACCCATACCTGTTAATACTTTCTAGCAGGTCAAAAGTAAATAAACATTTTTGCTTCAAAACTTTCCGATGACCCGTTATATCAATAACAATATATTTTCAATTGAGTCATTTATATCTTACAAAACATCGGTCCCAATTTTCTCCTGTAAACTACGTCTTTGTCATATAAATATAAATCTATTTTTAAGATTCTTCTTTTCAATATTTTAAAAAATTTCATCGCTTTTCTTTGCACAATAAAATTATATTCAACATAAGGCTCTTTTTTTTAACTGAAAATTTTGTATATTCTGGACACACTGCAATCCTTTTATGAACGAAATGCTATAAATTTTTTAACCTATTAACATAATTATAACTCTGAAAGGAAGCTCATAAATAGGAAAACTTATTCAACGAGACTTACTTAAAACAATAATATGATCAATGTTTTATCCAGCGTGAGAGTCGAAGGGGCTGCAACTCTCCAAAAATCGGATTGACCCTTTTTGAAGTTTGTGGTTATTGTACCACGTATCAGTGTTCTCAACAGTAGGTGCTTTCCCTTTCGAAAAAGAAAATCTGAATAAAATACTGAATATGATAGCGAATTTTATATCTTAAACATAAATGATGTGTATCTTTTTTAAATTCTAAGAAAATCTTCAAGCAAAAAATTATTTTTTTTTTATAATCAAAAAAAGAAACATTTACAAAAGAAATTTCTCATAAAAAATCTTCTTACAAATGTTTCACATCATCAGTTATGTTCTTTTCATATATATCAATAAAGTGAACGCAAGATAAAGATCATTCCATTTTATTTTTATTTATACATGATTCATAATCCTGACCTTTGTATTTTTTTTTTCTAAGATAAGAATGCTTTATGCTATTGCGATGTTAAATCTATACAATCAAGCTTTTATAGATATGGAGTTAGATAGTACACGTACGATACATTTTATAACGATAATAGATATGGATGAGGACAAGAACACAAGTTTTTTCAGTTAACATTATCATTGAAACTTTATTAACATAGAATTCAAATCTCATTTATTTTTTTATATGATTCTTGTCTTTAAAAAAGAACTCACCTGTAAATATTTTAAGATTTGCTGTCATTGTACCAACTGAAATTTTTGATTGTAAAGACTCCATTGCGATAATAATATAGAGTAATTGGTTATCTAAGTAGAAAAGAAAATATGTTATGTTTCGAAATAGAAAACAAACAAAGTTATTCTTAGTATCGGGTTATTTTTTTTCTCTTTAATTTATACATATACATTTGGGAACAATAGACAGAGCATTAACAATATTTATTAATCTAACTGTATTTGCTTTATATTACATATATTATACCTTCATATTGATCGTTATTGATGTCAATATCATTGTGCTCAATGATGAATGAATAAGTGAATAAAAAGGATCAAGTATATTTTTATTGTTCTCTTTAAGTCAACAAAGCATGTGTTCAAAGCAGTCAAAAATTCTCTTTTTTTCGTTCTTAGTTAAATATTTTACTCATGGCTTTGATTAAAAAATGCCGATGAAATAGCAGAAAAAGAAAAAAAACATCAATACTTCACGAGAAACTTGTTGACTGAATCGAAGAAAAGAAAAAAAAATTGGTTGCATAACAAGGTAGATATAAAGAAAAGGTAGATGAAAAAGTTATATATATATAACTTATGGCAGGAAAGCAAATTGCGTACTAAATATAAAAGAAAGTGATTTATTAATCGACAGTTAACGATGTTTTTTTTTTGTCTTGTTATTTGTGTGAACATGTAAAAGCAAGAGCCTTTTTTCTTCCTAAAAAAGAAAGCAATTTTCTGATTGGTTAATTGATAAGTCAATTATTTGTATTAATTTTACTATTGAAATAGAGGGCATCGTTTATCATTTTTCTATCAAACAGAGTTGAATAAATCATATAAACTAGCTTTGAAGTTATTTCTGGGCTTGAGAAGTTGAAACATTGATAATTTCTCTTGTGATAATAAAATTTATGTAAGGATATCAACAATACGAAATTGTATCTTTTAAAAAATATGCAAGATCGCCTAACTTATGTCACAGATAAAAATATTCAAAGAAGAAAAGCTTCAATGATAGTGGCGGTACCAGAGATGATCAGAGTCCACTCTGAATTACATTGAGCTCACTGTGAGACGTTTTGAAAGCTATGTTAAAATAACCTTAGATGTAGGTCAGGGTGAGCTTAGGTCACCCTGAGCTGAAATACTGGCTCAGTCACTATTCAATACTCCAAAACTATTGAATTTTCTTGTAAAATTTTCAGCACTTCAATATACTTTAAATTTCTTGTGAAAATACATGTTTAACTACACACATAGACAGATAAACGATTAAATGGTTGTTTTCTCACACGTTAATGATGAAAATTGAAGAAAACAACGCATTAAAACTCGTTAATTTGACAAATTAAAGAAGTAAACGAATGAAAATGTTTTTTTTTCGCCCTCAACGTATTTTAACAGGTTTAACAAAAATATTAGATATATAAGCATGTTTTAATGTACGCAATCGATGGATCAAATGATTCGATGTGTTTTAACATGAATAAACGTCCGCTTTAAACGTCTGACACAAAAAGAATAAATTTGAGAATCATTGCTGTTATAACTGATTTGTATAGTATACTGTTCAAGGAAAAATAAATTTAATTAAGGCAAACGTCTATGATTATATTAACGCTAAGTGCTCCCACTTCAATTGCGTACTGAATAATAACAGATTTACAAACAGGAATACATTTTATATTAGCTACAGATCGATAAGCAAGCTTTTGCGTGAAAGATTTATAATGAATAACTATGATTGGTGATCGATGTGATATTCTATAAAGTATGTTTGTGCATCGCTAAACTTGATCATCTATAGACAAAGTATCTGCTGTGTGAGTGTTTTTTTTTTATTGTCACGCTAATACGATATGATCCCTACACTCAAAACTTATATATGCCTTTTTGCATTCGAATTCGATTATAAACTATCGTGATTGTAGAAATTCGATTTTGGAAAATTTTAGTGTAATATGCGATTTTCTAATGAAAAATTGATCTAAACTCGAACTCACATTCATCGTTCTCATGTAGAAAAAAGGAAATGATTTCTATTTATTGCTTATGATTAAGGATCGATCAAAATCGTAATATTCTAATTGGATTTCTAATCAACATAATGATTAAAAGAAATTAAATTTTTTAAAATCGATGAATAATTTTTTATTAAATTGAAATTGATTAAAAATCAAATATATCAATTAAAATCAATGTTAATAGATCAAAATTCATATAATGTTATTAATAATTTGATTGAAACCAAGTAAAAATCGAATAATTTGATATAAGTCAAATTTTTGAAATGTAATTCAATTAAATTAAAATGAGTTGAAAATAATGCCATTACAATCGATTTGTAAACACACAAAAAAAAAAAAAACTAATAAACTTCGATTTGTTTACATTCGTCTAACTATTATCATTATAAGTTGAGGACGTATATATGTAGGTTTCGTTCAATATAACTAAACAATTTAAGTCATGAAGAAATACGTATTTTCAGTCTAACAGCATTTTGGCTGCTTCGTAAGTATAAGTTTCCGTGGCCGAATCTACAATGATGCAATCATAAATTGGTTAAAGTGTGTCGAACAAGAGAGAATCTCGTGCACTATTGTTGAAACTTTTCCATTGAACGTGTTCAAACGAATGGAAAGTAACGCAGGTGAAGTTAGCATCATATTCGAGTAATTCCTATCCATATTCACTCATGAAGCGTTTCACGTAGTCTCATTTCTGTTCTACGTAGAACTCGGCATGCGGTATCAAACGGTGAGATCAGATTCACGATATCTCCTACGGTTACTTTACAAAGTCAAAAAATATTGTTTTCTGTCTTCATCCTAGAAGGGTATCCCGAATTAATCCATACTCTGATTCGCTCACAACCTGTTACATACCTGTTTCTTTGTGTTACTAGTTAGAGCATGTACTATCCTCCTTGGAACACAAGCGGAAATATTTGAAGCAGTTTGTAATCTAACCACAGCACGAACTACTACTTCAATCCGCGATGACTGATCCAGTAAAATGCTTGTGTTTCGACTTCTAAACAATCTGCTTCGAATATCGTCAATTCATTAAAAGCATTCTCCAAAGCACATTGAATTCGACTTGGAACAA